AAATTATATGCGAATCCTCGTATCAATATTCAGGTATTAAGAAAGTTTCGGGTGTTCCGAGATGAAAAAGGTCAGGGCGTGCGTTGCTGGACGAAAGAGTGAAAGTCGATTGAGATACGCTTTGCATTATCAAAGAGCACGAATATGGGACTATGCTCATAAAGAATACATGTCCCGTATTTATTATGTTAAGGGTTAATATCACGAAAAACCCCAAACTGGTACACTTATGATAATTTTACCCCGAACTAATTTTTTGACTACTAAAAACCCCAAACTGGTACACATGTGACAAATTTACCCCGAACTATTTTTTTGACCATCAAAAACTCCGAACTGGTACACCTGTGACAATTTTACCCCGACCTAATTTTTTTATCACCAAAAACCCCAAACTGGTACAATTGTGACAAATTTACCTTACGTTAAATTGAATTGATATCACGAAAAATCACAAATTGATAAATTTGTGACAAATAGAGGGATAAAACTCCAAACTAGTACACCCGTCAACTACCACGTGTCATCAAACTTAGCAATTTGACAGTAAAATTTAACAGAAACTAACAAAAGGTAAATTTGTCATAGGTGTACTAGTTTGGAGTTTTTTGTAGTCAAAAAATTAGTTCAGGGTAAAATTGTCATAGGTATACCAGTTTGAAGTTTTTGGTTGTTAAAAATTTAGTTCAAGATAAAATTATCAAAGGTGTATCAGTTTGGAGTTTTTTATGATTAAAAAAATAGTTTTGGGCAAATTTGTCACAGGTGTACCAGTTTGGAATTTTTTGGAATTTTTCATGGTATTAACCCGCGTGTGATATGTCTTTGAGTTTGTTATTGTTCTTCACCACCACCAAGGCAACGAAGCATCCTCGAGGAACAAATGGTGCTTAATTTTACCATAAAAGGGAGGAACCGAAGCCGGCGACTGCTAAAACTTTATGATCAAGTGGATCGTTCAACTCTTTCTGAAGCTTTCGTTGAGAAAAATGAGTTGGTGAATCCAATGACTTCGATTGTATCATTTCCTACTCAAAGATGGTCGCATTCGTCTAGAGATAGGTAAGTATACTCCCTAGAGTCGGCATGGCTGGATGAAGCGTCGGAGAATTTTCAGCTCGGGAACTAGAGGTCAACTGTTTTGAATTATGTCAGATGCGTGCAAAACCATTCTGGGTTAAAGCCGCATGCACAGGTCAAGAGTTTTGACTTAACTAGCTCAAGGGATTTGCGAGGTATTTCGCGGGTCTTCCCACAATGTTTGGATTATTAAAGGGAAAAAACATATGTAAATGTGAAAGGAGCATGTAGGAAAGAAAAGAGACTTCATCGACCATAAAATAGTAACACCGCGAGCTTAATGTGTCATAGGGAAAAATTACCCAATTAGTCATAAATGTTCTAATTTTACCAATTCATTCCTAAACTTTTGCGCGAAATTCCAACATAGTCTTTCTGGCCAATTTTTGATTGAAATCGCTGACGTGGTGATCCAATCATCGCAGGCTATCGAATTTGTCTGGTGGAAAAATTGGCAAAAAAGACCATATTGGAATTTCGCATAAAGGTTTAGAACTAATTTGGCAAGATTTGAAAGTTTAAGATTGAATTGGCATAGATTTATGACTGATTGGACACACACTTAATACATATATTTCACTTGCTTTTAAGTTAATCAAGTGTTCCTTAACGGGTGCGATGATTAAATTGCAGGTTTAAGCAGTTCGTGTGAAAAAAAAAATGTAGATTTTCTTAATCAACTTGGTTAAGTATTTGTGGACCGACTAATTACACCAAGCCTAACAAGCCAGCAATGGTGACGGCAGCAGCAGACAGGGAGGCTACAAGCTAAGCAGTCATCACTAATTACAAACAGCTCAAAGAAGAAACATCGAACATGGTTTTGTCAATTTTCATAATATTTTTAACGTAGGCTCCGTTTATTTTACAAAAAATAAATAATTTAAAAAATATTTTCTTAAAAATAATTACTTATATCGCTTATATATTTATTAATAGAAAAAGTTTTCATTATCGATAACAAATTATATCTAAACATTTTCTTGAACGATGAAAATACATTTCATTCATTCATTTTTGTAGGGAATATAAGCGATCATTTTTAGAAAATTTCCAAATCATTCATTTTCTATGAAACAAACAAATTCGTAGTCTTTTGGCAATTTTCATTCTCCGTAAGCCCATGATTGGCATACCAAAACAGGAGAATGTGCAAGCGATTTAAAAACCACTTCCAATGCTAGATGGAGGGATATTCATATTTTTTTTGGTTTAAAAAGTTCCGCTCAAAAATTTAAATTTACCATAAAATTGGAAAAATGACACAAATTGTCTCTAGACTTTGACCCAATGTGCATTGTGGTCCTTGAAATGTGATCCCTGAACTTTAGCTAAATGTGCAATACGATCCTTAAACTTTTAAATTGTTTAATATCATCCGCGAGCTTTTGGTACATGCTCAATTTAGTCCATAAACTATATGAAAATGTTTAATATTGTTCATGAACTTGAATTAATGGAAAGACAAAATTGAACATTTTCGTGTAGTTCATGGACTAAAGTAAATAGTACCAAAAAGTTCATGGGCTACATTGCATATTGGGGTAAATTTTTGAGACCACATTGAACAAATTAAAAGTTTAATGACCACATTGTACATTGAGTCAAAGTTTATGAACCATTTGTATCATTATTCCAATAAATTTTTTCGGTATTACGGCACTAGTGCTCCATCACCATTAGAGCAAGCATTGAATGTTAGGACCATTTTGTTCTCGGGATCTCCCTATCATTCCTAACTAGAAGCAAGAGATTATTCGATGGGTATTAGACTTTATCTCCATTTTAAATCGAAATAGCCATCTTACAATTTAGACTAGATTGATCCTATAATTTACTCATAAATTGAGGAGATTTATCATACCTAGACATATCAAAATGGGTCATAGAACAATTTATAACCCATATTTGATGAGCTGACTTGTTACACGAATTAGTTATATTCAGTAAATGGATCATAAACAGGCTTAAAAGAGTAAAGTTCGAAATAATATGGGTGTTAATTTGATTCATAACTTGCTCATATTTAACCCATTTCTTATGTTAAATTGGAAATTTTTTTAGCAATATGAGTTCGATTAATTGTGAGTCACTAGATCTGTATTGCATACACCATTTTCACCTAAATCCGATCCAGTTCTTCGTTTGACAGGTCTAACCATACGCATACAACCGAAGTCATCATGCGAGCACATGAAAGTGTTGCATTTCTTTATTTTATGCCCTTTTTGGGAGTCGAGCGAAATCGGACGTCATTAATGCTTCCAATCTGGAGGAAAGGTCGCAAGCCTTCCACGCCAGCGTGTGGGATGTAATCCTAACAGCATGAGCATCCTCGGTCCGGCGAGAGTGCTCCTAAAAGATCTCTTGCTAATAATAGTTTTGAGCACGTCCTTAGTTAATTTGGGGCTCGTCAATTTAATTCTTTGGGGAGTGTGTTGAGAGAGATGTTGGATAAGAAATTTGGATTTCGCGGATAAATACTTTCGTGGATAAGTGTCAACAAGTGGAAGAGATTGGTTTCGGTGTAAGTAGAATCATCCCATATTGTCCCATCTAAATTGTCCTTTCTCTTGTTTGCTCTCCAACAAAGCATGACAATCTTCGTATTTACCCTCGTCACTGATGTTGAGTAATAACCACACAATATGATGACTATTTGAGGGTTGAGTCGCCCCGACAATACTTTCCCAATACAATGTGTGTCCGGTCCATTCCTACCTCCTCCGACATCATAGAGCCACACACCCTGTCCGAACCTTTTCGCCTGGATGATCACTCTTGCTATCGTCAAATTGATTATGGGTTTAGTTTGTCCATGGTGGGGGGGTCTTGCTTCGATACTATCTAAAATGATGTGGCCCTTTTCACGTGGGTGAATCCCTTAAAAGGAACACTTTGAGTAACCGCATTAGATTTGACCATTTAGGAATGGGTATTGATTTATGAATCTCTCGACAAGCCTTTCTAAAACCGATGTAAGACTCGTGACGTCACATTCGGTTATTTATGTTTCACATCATAAAGGTCGAGACTACAAATTATCTAAAATCTATCTATTAAGAACTTCACGTGGATGCAAATAAAAATAGCAGTTTTCATTTCACAAAAGTCTCATTTATCTCATATGATGCTCGGGGAGAAATATAGCGTTTTGAAATCTAAAGATCAGACCGTTTATAAGTAGTTAAAGGCCGAATCAGGCGGAACCGAATAAAAAAAAACTAAAGTACGACAGATAATAAAATGAGCCGATCCGATACGATTTTCAAGACACTTTGCAAAATGCAAATGGACGGAAGCGTAATTCTCGAGGGACACCAAGAACGGAGCGTTTCCAAGGATCCTCGGGTTCCAATAGATGTCCCATCGCCCGAATTGGAATCATGTGTGTAATATACTGATGAGATCGCCGGAAGGACAAGGACGCCGACGGCCTGATGATAGATAGGGAAGCCGGCGACCGATCGGAACGTGGTTATCCTCAAAAAACCCTTATGAAGATCGTCAAACTAGAAAAAGAAGGATAAAATCTCCTTTTCATTAATCAGAGTTTTTCATGCACGACGGGAATTTTTATTTTTTTTGGGTCAAGGAAATTACGGAAAGAGGGGGGGGGGCAATACCAGGACGAGAGGAGGGGAGAGACCTCCCAAATTGCACGAAAGAAGGACCCAACCAACAAGGGCAACACAATTCGACCCAAAAAAAAAAAAAAACAAACAAACAAACAAGGGGCAACACAACAGCAACAGTAGCAACAGCAACAGCAACGAGGGAGAGCGAGCAAACGATCCAATGGCGGATCCCCTCGCACATGCCACGATATCATCACACGGCGCAAAAACGCCAAAAGAACTTCTCTCTCTTCCCCCTCCCTCCCTCCCTCTCTCTCTCTCTCTCTCTCTCTCTCCTCCATAAAACCAGCGACCCCATGCCCATTACACTCACACACTCCCTCTCCCTCCCTCTCTCTCTGTGGAATCGATTGCAGCGAAAATCGAATCGGAGCGCTTCTCCAGAGGAGGACGCAGCAGGTGGGCAAAAATGGGTTTGCAGAGCCAATTGAACGACGTCTCCTCCAATTCCATCCCCCTCCTCCTCCTCGCCCTCGCCGCCACCTGCCTCCGCCACCTCCGCTCCTCCCTCTCCTCCCTCCTCCGCTCCCTCGGCCTCCCCCGCCTCTACGCGCCCGGCCCCGGCTCCCCCGCCGCCACCCACGACCCCGCCGACGCGGACGACGACGCGGACGACGACGACGACGACGCCGCCCGCCGCCTCTCCGCCCCCCTCGGCTCCGGCCTCGCCGGCCTGATCGTCCTCGCCGAGCAGCTCAACCTGAACGGCCTCCTCTCCGACTGGTTCTCCGGCGAGGAGGGCGGCGGGGCGGGGGGCGGCGGGGGCTGCGCGGACTGCTGTATGGTGTGCCTGTGCGGGCTGAGGGACGGGGACCGCGTGCGGAGGCTGCCGTGCCGCCACGTGTTCCACAAGCGCTGCTTCGACGGATGGCTCGATCAGCTCAAGTTCGACTGCCCCGTCTGCCGGTCGAAGCTGGTCCCCGACGAGCGCGTGGAGCTCACCGCCAGGCGCGTGGGCGGGGAGCTGGTGGCCTTCTTCTCCCCGCGGTGAGGCGCGTGTCGATGGACGCGACTCCCCATCGTCATGATTCCGATGATTGATGGTGAGGGCTGCTTCGCAAAATTGCCTGCTCTTTTCTTTCTCTCTTTTTTTCGGTATTTGCAGTTTTGACCCTAGATTAACTTTTCTGCCACTTCTTGTTCCTCCCATTTTCTTGTTCGGTCCTTAGATTGATTTTTTCTTTTTCAGTTATGTCCTGCCCCGTTGATTTTTGAGGAGCTCGTTCGGAGTTCTTTTTAACCGTCGGTGTAAATTTCTAGGATGTGCTACCTGTGATAAATAAGGAAAATTGGAGGATATATCTTTTTGTATGTTGCAATTATCTGACATGGCTCTTGATTTTCTTTTTCTTCTACATATCGTGTCGAATCGTCGAAGCTCTCGATCTTCTTTCTTCCGAAATAGTAAAAAGGACGGGGCAGATCGCATCGAATCCTCGAAAATCGATGTGATTTCTACGAGAATGACTACAATTTACTTAGAAAATTCGGTTTGATTTTCCTTTTCGCAATCAGAATGGAGGGCTGTGACACGGTACAATCGTTGTCGAAATCACTGGGCAATGGTGACCGATCATGTAGAATTTCTCTTTGAAGCGCCAAAGACAATTTGGGGGGGGGGGGGTCTTAGATAAAGTTAGAGCTAGCGCAGGCGAAATAGTGGAAAGTGTTTGTGAGATTGCCAGTTTGATGAGCGCCCACTTGCTTCTTTAAACTTATTATCCTTTATTAAAAAGTTCAATTAAAAAACTCGAGTTTATAGATATAACAAATTCGCACGAACATAAAAACATACAAGACCCGTTATCAAGTGATGTGAGATGATATATAAATATTTACAAAGGGTAAATTTTAGAGTACGATTCTATTCGTCCCAAATGAAAAAATTAATATTTATAAGGAAGAAAAACTTATCCACGTGTAATTTTTGTCCATCGAATTAAACCCGGGGCATTTTTTTTTCCCCTTGTTTGAAAAGCGAAGATGTTTTTGTCTCGCCGAGGTGAGTTGATTCCTATATTTAATTATTTATTTTTAAATTTATGCCCCCCCTATTTTTTAGTGTATATCAAATTGGATTGTGGTAAGCAAAAAGTCAGCGGATAGATCCCGCGGGAGTTGGGTGAAATGATGATGCAAGTAAAGTGCGGAAGAACATGTTCGCTTTTACGTGTTTAGGGGAGGGACAGAATGTGTCCATCGATGCTACGCTCATGAAAACGTGCGATGTGAAGTGCGAACACTTTTTGCTGTTTTAGTTCTTTGTTCTTTCTTCCCTTTTTCCTTTGCACTTTCTTTTTCTAGTTGCTAGACGTGGCAAATCTCGATTGGGCATCAAAATAAGTGGATCCATGAATTGAACGATTGACTACCCTCAACGCACAGTAAAAAAGTACCACCTCGTTATGTACGTTTCAGTAAGATTTCTCGATATATATATATATATATATATAGCAGGACAATCGATTTTAAGGTAGGTAAATTTCAGATCAATAATCTGGGAAATTTAAACCGGTTTCCAGTTTTTGAAACCCGAAACCTATCTTGGGACCGATCCTGGAACTTACCATATTTTTTTGATCCGGTTCCAAAGTCTACCTGGAAATTGGTTTCATTTTTTTTGCTTATTTTTAAAAAAAATAGAGACAAATGGCAGTTACAACAAAATAATATAAGCAACAAAACGGCTCGAAATAAAATATTGATACAAAACAAACAAAAATATAAAGTAGTAGATAAGTTAAGTTCATTTAAGAAAGATAAATTATTTTTTTCCAACTTCATAAAATAAGTTCTAGCCATCGGTTCTCGGGTGGGTGAGTTCAATTTCCAGAACCTGAAACTTACTCGCACAGTAAGTTCAAGTCTCTAATCTTTTGGGTTCTACTCTTTCGGGGCAGACTGCAGCAATTGAATTCAGTTCATAGAAATCCAGACTCAAGGTAATATCACTCAAAGCATTTTTGTGGATACTATTTGCGAAAACGAGGAGAATCACGGCGTTGAAAAATTCCAAACTTAAAGCAAAACCTGTTATGTTATGAAACAGTTCTTGTCGAAAGTCTCTCGTGTTCACGGTTGCGGCGCATCGCGACATTGCAAAACAGCAAAGTTATGCCGCCGGAAGCAACGGCGATGCCAAATGGATCAGCAAGATGGCGGCAGGTAAAGGAAACCGGAAATGCAAGGAAGGGAAAAGGCCAAAGATGATGAGCAGAGCATACAGAGCGCAAGTGAAAGTCCAAGAACAGAATTTCAGTGTTCTTTTTTTTGGGGAGATTACAGAATCAGTCCTAAAACTTTAGTAGGAATTCGATCGAGTCCTCAATCTTTGAGAGAAAGTACAATCAAATCCTTTTGGCCAAATCTCGCTTAATTTATTTGATACACCAGTCGAGTCATCGCCGATTATCCTATGAATAATTGCCGTTGTGTTACATGGACTAATATTCAACGAAAGGCTACCGTTTTCATATAGACGAACAGCGCAGTTTCTTAATCGAGCAACTAAAGTGCCATAACCAACCCAAAATCCCCAGATCCATCCCTCCTACTCGAGCCTTAATAACCTTGAGAAACCCCAGTTCCAGTCTTGGCGGAAAAATTAGGAGCAAAGATGAAGATGACCTCGAGATTCTGCAGCAGAAAAGACAGAGTGGTCGTGTCAGGGTTTATAGTGAAGCCCACCTATCTTCAATTTTTCGACAGAACAAGAGAGAAAGGGGTAGAGAATCGGTCAAAGGTATGACTATGATTGCGGTCCCTCCAAGAGTGTGCCATCTTCTTATAACCTATTCGTGTTGTTTGTATTGGTTTCTTGGCTCGTGCTCTCTATCTCCCGTTATCACGTCATGACCATGCCAACAAACGCCCTGTCGGTATGATCTCTGCTCACACTCACATGGTCGCTCAAGCGCCCGCTCGTGCTCACACATGGAAACTCTTTGCTTTTCCTACCCGCGTTCGCGAGTGCCTGCTCGCCAGGCGATGTCAGAATCTATACGAGAGACCGATCGAGGCGCGACCGCAGATTCGAGCATGCCTCGTGGTGTCGTGATTAGTAGTAATTAAAGGGGTCGTTAGAAGAATGCATCCAAACTCGGGATCATCTCACAGAAAAGAAAACATCGGATTCGTTCATGAGAGACCATAAAACATCACCAAACAGGCACGAGAGAAATGGGATCGAGACAAAAAGAACAGGAGCCCCACGACATTTCTGTCTTTGTCACCCTTGTCTGAGGCCGACTAGTCTTGGATCATGCATGATAGCGTCGCTCCCACACAAGATGTGGTCGAGAAAAATAAATCGCCGTATCCACCATTGCATCGAGAGCACCTCTTTCCTTATTTTTGGTTAATGTACCGTGTTAGTTGCGGTCGGGATCAGTCGACACCAGCGTCGGGTGTTTTGAACCACCCCAGTGTCTATCGGCACCCAATGTGAAGAATGCACTTCGTCGGTGATTGCCCCACTTCCGATCGAATCTGTTGCGGAAGGAGCGATTTCCCGCCGGCCGAGATGGGGACAGTAACTTGCACGTTTATCAGTGGCTACCGGGAAGTGATATGCTGTGAATCTCCTAGTTCTTATGTGGATGACCTGCATTCGACTGGACCAGAAAGGTAGACTCCATCCGAGGCGCGAAGAAAGCGACCCTGCCACTCTACTTCAATTTCCAAAGAATCGTGGCCACAATTCTCCAGACGCAGCTAAGCCCTTTCTGATCTCACGTTTGGGCTTCAATAGGCTTAACCCATTACTTATATATGAATGTCATTTTTCAATATAGAAAACAAAAGGAACAAGAAAAAGAAAAATTACATATTTTTAACACCAAAGTAAATGGTTAATTATTTTCATCACCAAATTCCGTGCAAAATATGTGGCTCAATTTGGAGGATCTTATTCGTTACATGCATTTTCTCGACGGAGACTTTTGAGAGTTGGATTTTGGGTATGATCTAGGAAAGTTGTGTATGTGTGTGTATATATATTTGTTAATAGTTATGGGGTTCAGCTGAGTTTTGAGATGTAAATATTCTTTTTGACGAATTATGGAAGCATTGATATTGTAACTAATCTACTGATTTATCATATATAGATGGTTGATAACGGATTGTCGGTTGTTTTTGAGGCTGTATTTTTTGAGTGGAAAGAGAGTCATGTTATCCCGCATTCTTATTGGTTTTGAGGTGTGACATCTGTTCGTATCAAAGATTATGTTATGATCTTTTCGAGTGTAGATTTTATAGGACATCGTAAGATTGTGTGATAGCTTTTCTTAAAAGCGAGTCATTACCTCCGATATCACAACTATGCCTCAAGGTTCTCGAGGCACAGCTTCAAAAAAGAGACAAGAGGTTTGATATGATAGGAGTTTCGACTCACACGAAGCCAACGAAGAGTTCCAAAAGCCTTTTCGCCCCGACTAATTTCGCTCAAGCAATGATTCATTGGTATGGTCATGCGAAATAATTGAGTAAAGGTGGAACCACTTATTCACGCATCTTCGCACAATTCATAAAGGCAAATGCACCTAAATATGATGGGAAATTGGATCCTCTCAAGCTCGAGGGCTGAATTAGAAACATGGAAAGGATTTTTATAATGAAAAATGTTTGCGACAATCAAAAAGTCAACTTTGCCACTCGATATTTCGAAGGCGAAGCTGTATGTTAGTGGGAAGGGACTAGACCCATCCTTGAAGACAGAGATGCAACTATTTTTTAAAAGACTTCACTTAAGCTTTAAACGCTCAATTTTCCCCATAATCATTCTAAGCGAAGATGAGAAGTGACTCTGTAAGTACATCTCAAGGTAACTCATCGGTTATGGAATATGCAGCCCGTTTTAATCAGTTAAGTAGAATTGAGAAAGATTTGGTGGCCAATGAGAAACGTAGGGCTAAATACTTTTAACGAGGGCTTCGTTCCGATATCCTTAGTATACTCACGACTTTTGTACTAACCCAAACAAAGATATTTTAGAATGAGCAATTAGGTTGAGCAAAACATTTTGGAGAGCGGCACACAGGGTGCACCTCAGCACAAGAGGTTTAAGCTCACAGATTACTAAGATAGCCATATCAACGAAAGAGAAAAGCGAAGAGGTTTCAATCGAATAGGGAAGTCTAGAAATCAGAGTAATCAAGGCCCTTGTAAAGCTGAAAAATGATCCTATTGTTAGAGAGTTTCCAGATGTGTTTTCCAATGATTTGCTAAGTTTGCCTCCTATAGAGAAATTTAGTAGTGTATTAAATTGATGTTCGGTACAACACTAATCTCTAAGGTATCGTATCGGATGGCACCTATTGAAGTGAAAGAGTTGAAAACGCCATCACAAGAACTTTTATTAAAAGGTTTCGTTAAACCCAATGCTTCACCTTGGGGAGCTCCGTCTTATTTGTGAAAAAGAAGGACGGTGGTACGAGACTCTATATAAATTACCATGAACTTAACAAGGTGATGATAAAAAACAAATATCCTTTACCCCGGATTGATGTTTAATTTGGTCAACTTCAGGGAGCTCGAGTATTTTCCAAAATCGACCTTCATTTTAGGTATTATCAATTGAAGATAAAAACAAATGATACACCTAGAATCGCTTTCAAAACAAGGTGTGGCCATTATGTATTCATTGTTATGCCTATTGGATTGACAAATGCACCTGTTGCTTAGGGTGTTTAGGGAGTATTTAGATATATTTATTGTAGTGTTCATCGATGATATTTCGGTATATTCGAAGAGTTTGGAGGAACATGAGCAATACTTAAGGTTTGTCCTATCGATTTTACGTGAAAAGAAGCTGCATGCTAAATTCAATAAGTGTGACTTCTGCCTTGATCATATAGAATTCTTAAGTCGTGTGATCTTGAATGATCCTGAAGGATGGCATTTCGATAGATGTGAAGAAAGTTGAAACAGTTGTTCAGGGGAATTGGCCTACTAATTACATAAGTGAGAAGTTTCCTTAGGTAAGCAGGCTATTACATGTGATTTGTGAAGGGATTCTCCAAAATTGCTGGTCCACTTACTTGCTTAACTCATAAATGGACTAAATTTGTTCAATCAAATTAGTGTGAGCACAGTTTTCAAGAATTGAAGAGGCGTCTAATGTTAGCTCCTATATTGATCTTGTCTTCTGGAATTTATGCAAGGTGATGAAGTTGTGGCATATTTTTCTAGACAATTGAAATCCAACAAGAAGAACTACTCACTCAAATTTCAAAGTTAGTAGTGGTTGTATTTGCTTGAAAATATAGCAACGCTGATTGTATGATGAAAAATGTGAAGTCTTCAAAGATTACAAGAGTCTAAAGTATATTTATACTCAGAAAGAATTGGACATGAGACAAAGGATGGTTAGAACTTATGAAAAATTATGGCCTATCTATCAATTACCATCTAAGTAAGCAAATATAGCAGCAGATGCCTTGAGCTGTAAATCTTTGGAAATATGGCGACTTTGTTGACTTCTCAAAAACTTATTCTTGAGGATATGAGAAATTGACCTGAAAGTTTTGGTGCATCAACTTGGTGCTCAGTTAACAAATCTTCGAGTCCAATTTAAATAGATGAGAATCAGAGAGAACGATCTAGACATTAGTGGATATGTTGAGATCCAGCGTTATTGACTTTGGTGGTTCGTGAAACGAACATCTACATTTGGCTGAGTTCTCTTATAATAATAACTATCCTTCTAGCATTAAGATGACTTTTTTTGAGCTATGTACGGTTGAAAATGCAGAACCCTATCTGTTGGGATGATATTGGCAAGAAGAGACTAACCGGTCCTGAATTCACTCAGCAGTCAGAAGAGAAAGTCGGGTTGCTTCGAGAGTGTCTAAAAGAGCACAAAATCGTCAGGAAAGTTACGGAGACCCTAAAAGGCGCAAGGTGGAATTTAGTGTGTGGTTTCATATATTCCTAAAGGTTCTCTTATGAAAGTTGTCATGAGATTCAACTAGTGTGGCAAGTTGTGTCCTAGGATCATTCTTGATCTTAGAGAAGGTTGGCGAAGTTGTTTACAACCAGCCCTATCAAGTGTACATGGTGCTTCGCATGTCTCTTTATTGCGGTAATATGCATCCAATCCATAACATATTCTAGATTTTTACACTCTCAAGGTTTTGAGGAGCATCCTATTCGTATCGTCAATAAGAAAGTTCAAGTGTTACGACGCCGAACTATTCCATATGTGAATACCAATGGTAGAACCAGACGGAAAGAGAGGCAACTTGGGAGCTCGCGAAGGAGGTGAGGCACAAATACCTTCATTTGTTTGAAAGTAGAGGTAAATTCAAATTTCAATGACGAAATTTCTTTTAAGACTTTGTTATTGGGTAAGAAAATGGGCAAAACCCGATTATTAGATTAACACTTGCCTAACAAAATTTAAATTAGACTGATCTTACTATAATAGGCGAATTAAACCTATGCCTATCCAATGCCGAAGTGGCATTTACATCGTAGGATTGAATGATCCAATTTGCCAACCAATCTTCACATGAATTTTCTTCCCTAAAACAGTGAGAGATAGTTTGTTTCTAAAGTAGTGCAAATACTTCTTGCGAGTCCATCTCCACAATAATTTTGAGAGATTGCCAATTTGAGGTAAAAAAAAAATACCCCAAATTGGATCAAAGGGTAGGAGCCAAAAAAAAATATAAAGAGAAAAAAGTCTCGTCAAAGAAGGGAAAAATGGACACTCGGCTTATTTATAAGACAGAGAGTACGCTTAAAGAGAAGGAAAAAGAAAAGAAAGTAGAGAGAGGAAAAAGGAAAAGAGGACTTATCACGTACACGCCACGGAGACCTCTCCAAGCTGGATTTACTTTGATTCGCAACGCCCGCAAAAAATTCAAGCCATTTATTTGTTTAATCGGAATAATTTTTGCAATTAGGGCACAAATTCAAAGTCATATGAAATTTGAATTACGAAGTCGAAATCGGATTTCGCAATTCAGATATCACGTAATTTCGAATTTGCGTCCTAATTCCGAAAACTATTCCGATTAGACGAACAAATAACTCAAGTCCTCACGGAGCGTTGCGAACCGAAGAAAATTCGGCTTGGCGAGGTTTCCGTGGCGTGTACGCGCAAAACCCTCTTTTCCCTTGTCCCTCTCTCTTCTTTTACCTTTCTTTATTTTCTTTCCTTCTCTCGAAGCGCGGTGCTCTCTTATCTTATAAAACGAGTTGAGCGCCCCTTATCCCAATCAAGAGTCCACACATTACACATTGGTATTGCCAAGTCTCCCCAGAAAGGCGAAAACGGGACTGGGAACTGTTAATATGCTCTAGGTTATACTTATAGGGATGGCCATTGGACCGTGTCGTAACGGGCCGTACCGTGCCAGCCCATCTTAGGCCCATGTCCCGCCTCTCTTGGGCCCGTGTCGGGCCAGGTCCGTCGGCAATGAACTATACTTTTGTAATGACCACAACTACATTGTAGCTGTCTGGCAATTTTGACCAACGACCGTCATATCATTTCAAATACGCACACGTAATTTTTTGTAAACATATATATTTGCTCAGACAAATATTATAGCCGTAGGTCAACATAATACCGCTTTTTCAAATAAAAAAAAAAGTTGAAATACCAGGTAGATCATGGTGTATATATAGGACATACAACGAGACTTTTACACCAATCTCTTAAAATTGTATTTACGGTTCGACAAACTCTTCTGCTCCTTGACCTTTACCCACTCGGAACGAGATGACGTACGGCCGGTTTGAATGTCAATGTACCGGAGTTGGGCAATAAAATTTCTCGTATATGGTCAATATTATAGTGTGCAAATAGTGTCAAAAATTCTTCACCGTGATCCACGAGATGGGATAGGACATCCAATGGATGAACAAATGGTTATCGACACGGGGTGAGCGTAGGCCCGGGTCACGGTACCAAGTATAGATCAAATTTCACCATTTTATTTCAATGAATTTTGTTAACGAGTGCCCCGAAAACACTTGTTAAACATCCACACAAATAAAGCCACGTCATTTCCATAGCACCACTTTCCCCGTGTTATGTGCTATTGATGTATGGAAAATGAGAACCTTTCTTTATTAGGTTTGATTAACAAGTTTTAATGGGGCACTTATTAACAATACCCTTATTTGATTAGTAAATATTAGGGTTTAATGCACCATATAAATACTCAATGTAAATCAAAATCTAATCATCTATCATCAAGCTTTTTCGATTGTGTCCACTATTCATATTTAATAAAATAGACGAAATCTATTACATGATTTGCATCTATTATCAAATCACTTTTCATTCTTATTTCGAATATCTAAAAATTTGAGCGTTTGGACTATTATTAGGGGAACTTTAAGCATATGATATTTAGACAATCAACAGGAGGACAGTAGCGTATCATACACTTATGTTTTGCTACAACAATTTTTAACGATTGATTGCGAGGATACATCGCAAGTCTTGAAACAATTGGACGGCGTTATAACGTTCTTTACACTCACGACATCGCATTGCATAGTTGTACCTTACCACAAGTGTCCAACAAGTGTATCCTGGAAGTGTTCGACACCTTATTTTCGATGATACTCATGAACGAATCAGCCCGAGAGAAAAACTTACCTAAACTCGGATCCACTAGACCGAGTCCATCACAGCCATTGATCATGCAAAGATCGACAACATAATCAACGGCGGTAATAGATCCGATCCACGTCCATGCAAGATTCTCTCGCTCATGTAAACCCAACACATCTGACAGATTAGATCATCTAGCTCGTCTGTCAGACTCCAGATGATCTAAAGTGTTTTTGATTCAGATGGTTTGAGCTCCACCACAAGCTGAGTTCACACAACTTCTCGCCCACATATATATGTCTAAGACCCAGATCTATAAACTGAAATGATAAAGAGAAAAAGCATAAAACGAATTGAATCAAAGCAAAACAGCTACAAAAGGACAGATCTACACTACCCACACATATCAAGAAACCCTTGAGCCATTACTCGGTACAGATATACATGAAACATGTGCAGACACAGAGAGAGAGAGCATGGATCTGAGAGATAAACGAACAAACCTTTTTGCCATGGCCGTCAAAAGCTCTGGGGAAAAGAAGGGAAAGGGAGGAAAAGCAGGAAATTATTGGCATGGGTGGTATTGGCAAGAAAACTCACCCTCCATAACACATCTGTGCATGACAACCGAGAGCGATTCCTCTCACCAAACGACCCATGCCCACAACTTCCTGAGACCCTCTCTCCCTTTCCCTCTCTTCGTCTCTCTCTCTCACTCTCTCTCTCGATCACTCAGATCTGTGTTTGTGGGTTACCTGTCTTTCTTGTTTTTCTTAGGTTTTGGGTGATGAACGGAAGACTGCGATGTCCATCGAAAACGGGAGAAGGGGAAGGGAAAGGAAGGAGGCAAAGGAGTGTATGGAATGGGAGGAATAGGAAAGAGAGCAAACGCCATCCACTCAGTCACCGTTTTTCCTACCCTTCCATTCCATGCACTCCCCGACGCTGCATCTTTCTTTCCCCCGCTTCTCTTCCTCTCATCTCTCTCTCTCCTCCCCGTGTGAACTGAAAGATATATGTTAGTGGGGGGTTTTTATAAAAGAACAAGACATTGGATGCCATTTCAACTCCGCCAACCACTTTTCTGGTCTTGTATTGAATGGCGGATGGTGGATGCTTCTCGGGAACGCGGAGTCGTCCTTGTCACGACTGAAACCCCGACCCCCACTGTTTAAAGCGAAAGTTAAAAAAGCCAATTTGATGAAAGGGAGGGAGGCGTGCCCCCCGGGTTGGTTGGACCGTAGTGTCTGACGACGAATGATGCCCCCCACTAAAGCCTGAAAAAGATGCCGAGCACCATTATGATATTAGATCGGCCTGTCTAGAAACTACAGATAGACAATTTCAAACGAAGTTGTCCCATTATTGTCCACCCTAAGTCACGTGCAGGTTCGTCCGAACCGTCAAAAGCCAAAAAAATGTTGCTGGAGAGACCTGAATTTCTGAGCAATTACCGAAGCTGTATCAGCACCTTGATTTGGATTGATACCCAGAACTAGATTGGTGTACACTGCAGACGGACCGATGCATACCCGAGAAACTAATCCCCGACAGCTTTTGATTACTTTCCAATGGCGGGTAAGACCGCAATCACAGCACTAATTTCTTTTGTTTCTTATCAGGGCAAATACTACTACGAAAAATCCCGAACTATGTCCTCTTTGACCAAAACACCTTGACTTTTTTTTGAATTTCCAAAAATTCTAAACTTACCCGTTATGATACAAATACCCCCAATTTCTTTTTGTGTCACGAAAAAACCCAAATTAATACATATGTAACATATATACCCTCTATTTCAATTCCATCCAAAGTATATTTGTTACACTAATATAAAATCAGGGGTTTTTTGAGGTATTTGCCCTTCTTATTACTCCCTTTGCTTTCAAGTGATTTTAAATCAGCTTTGAGAAATTCATCAGCTACTTTCTTTTCCCAACAAAAATGGCAATGGCAATCAGACCGATTAACTAGCACGCACACGGGGCTTTCCTAGCAAAACAAGTTCCCAGTCAACAAAATCGGCACAAACTGTACATTCGTGAGGCCACAAAGTATATCGGCTTATCAGTTTGACAGAGAAGCTGGCGAGAGAGATTGACGACGGTTTGTGCAGCTCCACAGAAGGCAACAAGACGTTGAATTATTAAGCCCCGATTTGAAGCAAGAACCTGCATTTAAAAGAGCATGCAATGAGAACTAGGCGCCGGTACAAGATTCTAGTTTACACAGAATCCTCGAGAGATGCTGCCTCAAAACAAATACCACTCGATCGCTGCAAAACACCTACATTCCAACAAAGAAATATAGTTTTAATTACTTGAACGCAACATGACAGTTCGAAGCTCGACCAAGACTCAATACTGAACTAGAGTTTAAATAACCGTGATGTTTCAAACAAAATTTTATTAAACAAGTTATTTAATATGCTCGAGCTCGATTCAACTCAGCTCTAAAGTAAAAGAATTCTACTAAACACTTGAATAAAGCTCCGGTTTGAGTTTTCAAAGTATGAAAAATAATTAAATATATAAGATTACAGTTACAATTATGTTAGCTACTAGATTAGGGTTAAAAGTCGCTCAAATTCAACTGTACTAAAAACTCAATCTTGATTTGATATGATGTTAATTTGCCTACACTTGATTCAAACTCAATAAAAAATTGAATGGACCTCCAGTCAAGCAGCTAATGAGTTAGACTCGAGTAACTAACAAGCGCCGCAAATTATTTGCAGCCTTATTGAGAGATCAAAAGCATAGAATGCCGAGACAGAGACAATAACCCAGGTCAACATGACTCAGCAACATTGTTAACAACTTGAGCTAACCACAGACAAAAGCAAACTCCACCTAGATCATGTCATGAGGTCCTCTAAAAAGTCTGCAACAATCACTTTCTCACTCAGGCTGAAGTTGCCCACTAGGTTCTTGGACTTTTAAGCATCCAGAACAGTAGAATTATCATGGTGAAACAGACGAAAAAAATGCCCTAGGCCATATATAGCTAAGGGCATCAGATTTTCTCCAGGCGTAGTAAATGCTATATTTACTACGCCTGGAGAAAATCTAATGCCGTTAACCATATATGGCCCGGGACAATAAAGGTTCAATGTGTGTACGTATACATAGTCAACCTGGGTCCAATGGTTGATAAATAATAGATATCCTCATAGGGAAATAATGCATTAGACTTGCACATATATTATGGTATATATTTATTTACTCTCCCAAGATCATCCGCAACCCAGATACTGAAAGGTCATTAGTGCTAAAAAACCCAGAGTTAGAAAAGGATGAAAAAGATTAGGCTTGGCCCAAATAAAGACAAAAATATTTTCTGTTCTCTATTCTGAAGTAAGTTTGGCAAACTCTTTCTGAGACAAATTTCGGAAATTGTTCTTGAAAGTATCAAAACACTATTTTGAAATTGGATACTTTGTACCTTCTCGAAAATAAAAGAAATGAAAGCAAGAACAATTACCATACAAAGTAATTACAATGTTAAACCAATAATAAAATTAAAATTATATAGCTAAGATAGTTTTCAAATCACATTTCACCAAAGGCATGTACATAAAGTACTAGATAATCAATGTTTTTTCATTACAAAATTAAGAATTGAGAACTACAAGAGAACATTCATCCTTATGTCTCCTATGTAAGCAGAGCAACAAGTTGAGAGCTCATCTCTCATCTCAGTTGCGGAGAAAGATCATATTACTTTGCTTTCTCGATAGATTTCTTGGAGATTGTGTTATGGAGTACCAGTGGATGTAGCAGAATGCTAGGAGAACCAGCTTTGATCCATATTACTCAAGCTAGTTCGAATACATGTTCTATTTCCTATAGAGAGACAGGAATGCAGCCATACATGGTCAAACTCCTTCTATCATTCAAGTGTAGAAGTGCGTTATATTTGCAGTTAAACATTGAATTTAATGTCATCAAGTCCTCAAGCAGAAAGTTCAGTCTGTATTAACTTTGCAGCATGGTTGTTGGGATCACAATCCAGTGATCCAGATATTCCACAATGATCCGGATCGCACCAAATATCACAAACAGGTGGGATCGTGGGAGGATCACAATCCAGATGGGAGCGTATAGGATCGCTCTCTTTCAGTTCTTAATTTTCAGTTTCTCTGTTTTCTGTGCAGCTCTAATCCACATATCTTCTAAAGTTTTTCCTCTGCTTTCTTTTGTTAAACTTTTTTTACTGATTTTTGTTTTAGTAGATTTTTTATTGTTGTTTCGATCAAGAGTTTGACTAATGTCCAGTTTGGGTGAGGATGATTTTTAATAAAGAGGAGTATAATGTGATGAGAAGATGTTAGCCAAAGATGAGGAATTTTAGGGATGAGTCAATTTTGGAAAACTTCTTCTCTTCTTCTGGCTGAATAGAAAGGTAGTAGTTGTCACTGGGTGGTTTTTTGAACAGCTTGCTTTAAATTCATATGATTTTTAAGTGACATGTTTTGTTTGAACTTTATAATTGTATATTCTTCATACTTAAGATGGATATGGAGATTAAAGAATGCAAAACTCAGAAATTGACCTTACTAGAGCTTTATTCTCTCTTCTTAATGTTAATAGGTCTGTAATTGGATAAAACAATTTCAAATTTTTACATTTTAGGTCTCAATTTGTAACTTTTCTACGATCTTACAATCCTCGATCCGATCCTACAATTTGAATCTCAAAGAACTTCAACTGATTCTGTTTAAGATCCCAATCCTGACAACCTTGCATGGCAGCTCTGTGCTAATTAGCACATCCATTTCTAGTTTATTTTATATCCAAGTTTGGATTGTTCATGTTTTCTTCATATTACTGCAGCATTGATTGTATTCTGCTTATTCTTGTAATGGATGGTTGTACTCTTGCAGCCTTTTGGCTTGTATTTGGCCGCTTGCCCTTGTTGAGGAAATAAAGAGTTTAACTTACCCATAAAAAAAGTATTTATCCAAAAAAATCTCTCTGAAGAAGAGACTGGAAGGGTCATGTGACGATGGTGCAAACAACAAGGCCATGTCCTATTTTTCTAACTTCATAGTTTTTGGTTTGAAGAGATACTTGACTTTCTCCTTCCAGCCTTCAGCCACAATTAAGCCAAACCACACAATCCACCACCAGGAAATACGAATGCCACTTTCTAGCCAAAAATGGAGATATGGTAAAGTAACTTATTCGGGCATAGTTTAAGTCTAGAAAACTTTTTTATGACAAATGTGACACTGTGTATTCCGACATTAACAGCAACTTTTGACGTAAGTGATGAGAATGAAAAAGACAATGTCTGATCAATTTGATGCAATATTTCATGGTTGGTTCTGTTTCATCAATCTAAAAAACAACCGACAGTGCCTTTGCAAAAGCTTCACAATTCATGCCCTCTACTAGCTCCAACATTAACCTCCCTCAACATCGTAAACCTATCACATGCACCAGTTTTTTTTTTTTATGTTTCCAATTAATGTTTTTCTTCAAATGCAGTCAGACACAATCATTTGCAAAAGTGAATAGACAGAATGAGAAGGTGGAACTGCTGCTCACTTACTCAGCACGTCGATTTTCACTTGAAGACGATATGCAATAACTGAAAAAAGAGAAGTTACCAAAGTAGATTCTTACCTCAATCAACTTGACTTAACATGCACTTCAATGATGTCCTCATCCTCCATTCCCAAACTATCAGGGGTTGCTGATGGACTGATCTTCTCCCCGTCAAATGTAAATACTAAATTTTTTAGGTTAAGCTTGACTCTATCTGCATATAACTTGAACAGCCGCTCAAACTTGTCATCCTATAGCAACATCATGGAAGTTAAAGTTCGACCAGTATGAACTTCAAGGGAAAAAGAAAGAAATTATAAGCGTTAAGGAACAAGATGCCAACTGCCGCATGATGCAAAGAAGTAATAGACAATGTGTAAGTGTTTGAGCAGCATGAATTTGATTGCTACAGCACTGAAATTGGATCTGGTGTGCTTGGCTTGTTAGGAGAATCAGAAGATAGCCTTCTGAAAAATATGCTCACCATCATTAATCAGGCCCTTATGGAATCATTTCAAGTAAGGTTGGAAGGATATGCTGCTGAATAGCTACCAGCAGCAGAGTGGAGAAAGAACTTATTTTACTTTACGAGGATGGTGGTTGTGGGAGAAAGCACATTTTAAAATTATCGCACAGGTACAGAGACTAAACAACCATCCAGAAAGAAAAATTAAAAGCCGCAGGGAAATCATTAAGGAGGTAGTAGCCAAAATCAATAATCATATGACAGGTACATGCCATTTTACTGTAGACAGTTGACTCTCCAATTGCATATCACAAGGAATGCTGCACCCAAATCCACTCAATCAGAGACATTCTACCTTATACATTTATTCCTAAACGTGCCTGGACAAAATCCAGTCCATCTGACATAGATGATGAATCTACCTTGAGTTTTTCAAACATATAAAAAAACTAAAGAAAAGAAAGAACCACCCAACCAGCCTATAGATGACCCCGGGAGATTACAGCAAAAGGACCGGAGACGCTAAGTCATGTCAAAGCAAGAACTAAGTTTGGCTTATTGAAAAGGATATTCCTTGAACGTGTGTGCAGGTATGCTATAGACCTCATTCCCCGAGAATTGTTCAGCATGCCATAAGTATAATTACACATGACTTAGACTTGTCGCGACATGCCTGAGGATGGCCTGATGTGATCTATGAACAACAATATAGTTTCAAAATGTGCTTCTAGGATCACAGTATTCAATAATTTAAAGCAACCAAGCAACAGTAGGGAATTATAAGGATTATACTCATTGGGCATTAGTCCTTTTAATTCAAAATTCATAGAATTCATTTCAAATGTTTGACCAAAAGGGGTGATTCTAAACAGATGATCTTGTAACACCACTCTGGCAAGTACCTATTAAACCCAGATGAGGAAAGGCCCAATAGTTTTCCCTACAAACCCAAGAAGAAAACTAGCAGAAAATTAAACGAATGATCCTTAAACGAAAGTACCAGCTATCCATACATACATAAAGTCGTAAATATGGATGTCATGCAACAGCAAAACTGAAATCAGACGAGACTAAATTCTCTCATGACTGCCTAACATTTGTCACCATCATTATGCCACTCTGGTTAGATCATTTATTTCATGCTTACTTGCATTTAAACATAAAGATATTTGCCTGATCGAAATAGCACAGTCATAGTTACCTAGAAAACGACGCTCAATATAGTGGATTACATTGAAGGTTGCTTAAATCGACATCTTTTATCACATTGACTACTAAAACTGATTTACTTCATTCTTTGAACTATCAGACCACACCGGGCAGTCAAGAACCAACAATTCTACCATGTGCTATTTGGTATGCAACGTTAGATTCTGGTTAGAACTATTGACCACTTTGTGATATAGTAAATCACTGAGAAGAATAGACAAATGGCTAAATGGAATGAATGGAACAAATCGCAGTTCACTGATCAATGGCGGAAACATTTCAGAGTAGACTGACTTCGCTTGGAATTTACCAACTCAACATCATTTGATCATCATAGTTCCAACTCTTAGACAACCTCAACAAGAAAAGTCTCCACAATATATAAACATGACTAGCTAAACATTCCAGAGTCCAGACATTTCACAAGTAGAAAATTGCACGTAAAGAATTCACAGAAGAAGAAGCGGACTCATAAACTGAGTGAAATCTGATAAAAATTGGTCAAGAATTCAAATGATTACAAATCTAAAAGTCAAGAAAAAACTAAAAAACAAAAAGTAGAAGGGTATACAGATGTCCTTCATTACTGACCTAGCCGATTTTGTCACCACCACTATGCTAGTCTAACCCTCCAATTGTATGCTTACACAATAGAGAGAAGAAAAGGAGATAACAAGATGTAGATCAGGACTATGTTATTGTTAAACACAACCAAAAAAAAAATAGAATTCTACGTGTTGCGTCGGCCAGCAATTTTTTAAAATACACTTATTGTCTAGACATTCTAAATGCAAACATACCAGAAAAACACGAAATTGCTTGGGCCCATCCTTGTCCTGTATCGATATCACTATCTTAGCTCTTTCACATTGAGGCTTGGGTAATTCAGCAGAAGCATCCTTCAAAGATTGAGATGGACTAGAGACCTCTCTCTTAGCAGAATCCTCCTCGGATTGCAACAAATCTTTGGTAGATTGTGCAAAGGTTTGAAGCTCCTGCTTCATCAACCTAAGGCCAGAAACCTCATCCAGTTAGCTCAAACAGGTCAAGAAAAGATCAAACTGGACAAAGGAAGAAGTCGGGTAGACACTTTAAATTTCTGAAACTTAAAAGTAAAATTGACAACACCGAGCAATATATCCAATTAAACAGCAGCTTGCAATGTGTATGTAGCAAATCAGACAGTGATTAGGCATCTCAAAATATCTTCATGTGACGAGAGCTGCCCGAAAATTTTAGCGCTATTACCAGCAAGCATACTAACTAGGGGACACAATCATTATCGAAATTAATAGGGGAAGAACTGGTACATGGAAAAAAAAATCCAGCATCTCAGCAACAATCCTAAAAATTCAACATCATACGTGATTGCATGTGTAAATCTTACAAATTTGTACGGTTCATGCAGCCTATATTATACGCAACAAAAATGGTTAACCCTAGAAGATCAGAAAAATAGGTTCTGGATGAAGCATAGCATACAGATACGTAGGCAAATTAATATTGTCCAAGCGATACCTCAATTCCTTGAGTGCAGGATCTTCGGCAAGCTTCCTCTTCGCATTGGCGTCAAATTTGGGTGGCGGGGGCATCCAATCATCTTCTTCTTCCTCCTCCTCCTTTTCTTCTTTCTTGCCATCGCAGACAATCACTCGAGGAACGCCATCATTCTCTCCCTTCCCATCCTAAACCCGGAAAACAGACACCACAAGTGACCAACAATTATTCCAACAACTACTAAGCGACAGAAAGAAACAAACCCAAACCACCAAAAATTCATCAAAAACACTCCGCTCCGCAATCGAAAAACATTCTCCACACTAACTTTTGCAGGGTACACCAACGGAAAAACCTTAACTCCAGATTACCTTCTGTCGCTTCGAGACGAAAACCGGCTCCTCATCAGAATCATCATCTACAAAAAAGCAGCCCAACCTCAGAAAACTCCATTTCAGAGCAATCCCACGATACAGTAGCCAACCAAAAAACTCTCTCCTTTCCCAAAACCAACCAGCGTCAAAATCCCGAGGAACCGCCTGACATCGAATAACGAAAAACGCACGCACGCGCACACACACAATAAACAAGCAACGAGCTTTAACACTCTAATTCCAAACGACCACGCTAGCTTATTTCCCAAGAACCCACCATCGAGGCAAACGAACTTGGGCTGCACGCGCCTGTAATCGAACAAGGGCTCGAACTCTTCCTCCGCCAACTCGCCCTCCTGCAGTACCGCCGCCGTCGTCGTCATCATTCAAATCACAAACGCAAGAGAAAAGGAAACGAGGGAGAAAGGGACCCGCAAAACGAAACTCGACCGCACCGCCATCGAGTCTGGTTCGGCCCCAAGACCTCGGCGAGAGCTTTTGCTCCGGGTCGACGCCGGTCCGTCCAGGGGCAGGAGCGGAGAGGCGGCGAGATTCGTCGTCCTCCCCGGCCAAAAGCAGCGAACTTGGATCCGAGCGCGCTGTTTGAACTTGCCACCGAAGGGAAGAGAGGAGAGGAGAGGAGAGGACGCTGGACAACAACGGAGGGCTACAAAAAGTGGAGAGCACCGAAGGCCGGGAAAAGTGCCAAAAAAGTCCTAAATCTTTTGCATTAGTGCCAATTTAGTCCTAAACCTTTTTTTGGTGCCAATTCAGTTCTAAACCTTTTACATTTGTGCCAATTTAGTCCTAAACCTTTTTTTGGTGCCAATTAAGTCCTAAACCTTTTAAATTGGTGCCAATTCAGTCCCTAAACCTTTTGTTTTTGTGCCAATTTAGTCCTTAGCCAATTTAGACCGGAATTTGCCTACGTGGGCCTGCCGGCCGGCGGCCGGTCACCGGCGCCGACGTGGCGCCGACGTGGACAAATTAAATATTTTTTTAATATTTTTTTGAATTTTTATTTTTTTCCTTTTTTTTCTTTTTTTTTTTTCCACTTTTTTTTTGGTTGTCTTCCTCCTTACTCTGGCCGGTCGCCGGTCCGGCGACCGGCCACTGGGGAGGGCGGCCTCGCCCGGCGAGGCCGAGCCTCGCCATGGTCGGGCGAGGCTCGACCTCGCCGGATCCGGCAAGGTCGAGCCTCGCCCAGCCCGCCGGCGAGGCCCGACCTCGCCAGATCCGGCGAGGTCGGGCCTCGCCCGACCATGGCGAGGCTCGAGCCCTCGCCGGGAGGCTGCGGCGAGGGCGAGCCTCGCCCGACCATGGCGAGGTCCGACCTCGCCGGAGGCCGCGGCGAGGTCGGGCCTCGCCCGACCAAGGCAAGGCTCGAGCCCTCGCGGGAGGCCGCGGCGAGGCGAGCCTCGCCATGGTCGGGCGAGGCCCACCTCGCCGCGGCCTCCGGCGAGGGCTCGAGCCTCGCCCGACCAAGGCGAGGCTCGCCCTCGCCGGCCTCTGGCCTCTCGAACAAATTTTTCAATTGGGCGATTGGGTCCCCCTCAAATCCTCTTAATTGGATTCAATCGAGTCCTCTAAATTTAATGATTTGTCATTTGTGCAATCTAAGTGCTTTTACCGCTGTACAATTTGGACATTAGAAAGTGGGTTTTGCTAGCACTAAGACAGCAACGGCCCACAAATCCTTGAATAAGTAGGCTCCATAATAATTTATAATTATTATTTTTTTTATTTTTTTTATGATCTTGAATGTAATGTTATTTTCACGCTGAATTAAAAATCTGTCACTCAATCATTTCTCTTTCCTTTATAGGGAGGATCATGAGGATCTCAATTCATGAAGATTATGGGTAGATCCCTCTACCCATCAAGATCATGCGTAGAGGAATCTACACTGTCGGCTTCAAGGGTCTAAGGCCACGCTTGGCGGACCGAATATAATTTTGGATAGGATAACTTATATCCCATTCGGCATTTGGGGTAACGTACAATCCAATATATAATTCAAATAAATAAATAAAATTTCACTTAGAGGGTAGTATATTTCCAAATAGGATAACAATTAAACAAAGGAAACAAAAAGAAAAATCTGAAAAAAAAAACACAGGCAAAAAAGGATGCATCGGAGAGAGATAGGAGAAAAAAGGCAATTTTTGCTTAAGTGAAGTCAACGAGAGATTGATGGAGGAGAAGATGAGAGTGCATAGAGTGACGATGCTTGTCCATGGTAGGGGTGATCGGTTTCCAGGTGGATTGATTCCTACCGTGGAATCGGGAACCGCTCACAAAAATCTAATTACTCACTAGTTCTCTAAATTCACTTGGGAACCAGACCCCAAGTGGGTCCATAGAACCAGTCGTGCCCTAAAGTCCACATTTTCTTCCAAAAACGGCTATGCCTCCGTCTTCGTAGCCTTCCTTTACATAACTTCAGGAACCAATGCTCAATTTTAGAAGGCACGTTTAGCTCCATAACGACACTGATGATCAGCCTGCTTAGCTCCATAACAACACTGATGATCAGCCTGCTTCCTAAACCCATCAACACAATTTTCCAGTCAAGCTCTTCGGACCATGTCAAAGTCCTCTTTAGGGACCCGCAAGACATGGTGGTGACAATATTTCCACATTTCTTCGGCAGAGGAACTCCGCACGGCCCTTAGTTTCCTAAGACACCATGACAAAACCAAACCAGACGAAACAAAACTAGAAACCAGGACGCGCTGCAAGAAACAAAATTAGGGCACATAGGCTACGAGATTGGTACCTAAAAAACTGTCGAGGCCGATCGTGAGCACTACTAAGAATGAGCGACAAGCAACAAACATCAAGGTCGTGAGTTGAGCGAGAGAGAGGGGTGGCGAGTTGAGCGAGAGGTCGTGAGAGTCAAAGAGAGGTAATAAGTAATTAGGGTTTTTTTTTCTAAAAATCGAGAATTGGACCGGTACCCACCAATTCTAATTTTAAGGAATCGGGAACTGGACCACAATTCTAATTTTAAGGAATCGGGAATTGGACCAGTCTTCACAGGAACCTCCCAGGAGACAGGTCGATCCGGTCCGGACGGTTCCTTTTGCTCATTCATAATCCATGGTAGTCTTATCATTCCTCCGAGCTCCACCATTAAAGATCGTTCCATCCGTCGACCAAATGCAGCCGAAAGGGTTTCCATCACCGTTCTGGGTCCAACAGATTTCATATCGGGCTCATGGCACAAAGGATTGCCCGTCAGTTTTTTTCCAAGCAAGATACTTGAGAGGGTCCTCAGAGACATGCCTTGAGCTGGATTAAAACCCATATTAACATACGCTACTTAGCTTGGCGATGACAATTTCTAGTAAGCCTATGTCATTGTGTACATTGGCGATGACATTTTCAGTATTATTGTTTTTCCTCATAATATAATTTAAAGAAAAAGGAAATATTTCCTAAACATAAAATGAACCGGTGCAACAATTAAGGATGCGTTTGTTTCACGAAAAACGAATTATTTGAAAAATATTTTCCTACAAATGATCGGTTATATCGCTTGCAAAAAGCAACGAACGAAACGTATATTCATCGTCCGCTAATATGTTTGGTGTGAATTGTTGTCGATAACGAAAACATTTTTCATTGACTAATCATTTTGAGCGATACAAACTGTTATTTTTTAAATAATTTATTTTTCGCAAAAAAAACGGAACCTAACAAGAGAAGACAAGTGAAGTTAATTAGCCCATCCAAATTTAGTTATCCTTGTATGATTGGAAAATTACTCACTAACTTTTTCAGTTTTTAGTCCAAAGTTTGACCGCCAAAAATGAAACTTTGACCATGGCCCATGGTTGCAAGATTGTGGACGAAATTGCTTTGTTTAATTGCTATAAATGCTTTCTAAGAACTTGAAAGATTATTAAATCAGTGCAATTTACCGAATATTGCTACTCACCATACTTGTTTAGTTCAACTTGTAAAGAAGTCTCCCCAGTATACTTTTCGTAGTAAGCTTAGTAACTATAAAACAAGTCATAATGATAGTGAAATTTCCATAATTTCATATAATAATATTCTTGATCTATTAAAATTGGTCCGCCATCCTAATCGACCAATAAGTCATTGGTTTAAACTATTAAACGTAGGTGGAATTGGACCCAACTTAATATGTTGACCGTTCAAACTTAGACTCGCTCTTGGTGATTCCCTCAACTCCATGTGAAGCATCGGATTTTTCCCGTGCATCCTCAACATGTACAGTGATCAAAAGCGAACCCATAGTCAGATATCGAGGTACATAAGTGATAAAAAGGTTACTTGGCTTTGTTCTCTCAAAGCATATTCTAGCTCAAGAACTTGAATTGAGCAATGAAATATATTATGTACATTGATTTAGTGGTGATCTATGTATATAATAAGCTACTAATAACCTTTAACCTTCGATTTTAGTGTGTGCTTATGAAGGAGCACATATGCAAGTAGAAAGCTTGAGCTTGATGCAAATGGCTAAAATATATGTCGCTTTATATGATTATCGACCTTGTAAGAAGTTATTCTGCATATCAATTCTTACATTTCTTACTACTGATGGTGTGACGGCTAGTTTTGAGACGTCGGTGGGCATCATTATTGCCGAAGCTAATGCTTATATTGCATTCGCAGGAAAAAAAGTAATTGAACCAGTATTAAATAAGACGAAAGATTCCTAGGAATACAGATACTATGAAATTAGATTCTTAGCGAAGTATAGCGAAGTAAGAAACTCGTGTGAACAAACATCTGGAACGGAGCAAATAAAGCAGTAGGGATATATTGGAAATTATAGCTCTACAAGACCTCTATAATGCTCAAAATATAAATTAAGTATGCACTCATCGTGTGATTATTTCATGCTTCATTCGTTTTGTGGAAATGAATAGTTTGAAAAATATTTTTCTAAAATTAATTGCTTGCATCGCTTATAAAAATAAATGAACAAAAAATATATTCATCATTTATGAAAATGGTTAGATATAAATTATTATCGATAATAAAAAAAAATTTCGTCGACCAATTATTTTGAACGAGACAAGCCATCCCTTTTAAGGAAACATTGACTTCCACAAAACAGACGGAGCAATGATTGTTTTTCCTCCTGATCTATCGGTCAAAAAAGTAAACTCAACAAGTGAAGTTAGCACATCCGATTTTAGTTATCCTTATATGGATAGAAATCACTCACTTGCCAGTTGCCACTTCCTAGCATTAAAGCGTTTTGACGGCCCAAATATTGCAACTTTTACCAAGGTCGTGTGGTCCTATTTAGGTTTCTTCCGAAGACAGACAAACAACATGCAACACTTCCCTAATTAAGATTGTGGATGAAGATACACTGGCCTAAAGGCCTCTAAATGCTTTCCAAGTTAGCTCCAAATTTGCAAAATCAAGGCAAAATTACCATATATTTCCACTTGACCCCACTTGGTTTAATTCGACCTGTGAAGGAGCCTCCCTTTTTTCGAGTGGATTTCTCTATAGGTAGTGAAGTAAGTAGAAAACAAGTTTGAAGGTTTAAATTTGTCAATTTCGGGTTTTGAAAGGGGGCCGGCGATGGTCTCTACTAATTCGAGGATGAGTAGAGATATATGAACTCCCCCGGCGCAACCCGATTGTGGGTTCGTCAAGATCTTCCCGTTTTCCGGCTTCGTGTGTCCCTCGACGA